TATAGATAGAAGCCAGCGTCCCAGTAGAGAACGAGAATTTCACGAGAAGTAAGGAAGTTTGACTATTTGCAAGCTAGAGGTGCTCATAGATCATAAATCATGAATTGGAAGATTTCTCACGAGCCTAGTGCCATTTTTTATCTTTGTGATTTCACCGATTTTGGAAAATATCAGAAAATCACATATCCCAAAACAACTGCCCAATCAATGCGTGTCACTAATGTGATATCGGCACGTAAGGAACTCGTTCAGCTAATTTTCTATTTTTCGCTTCATAAGTTCATATTGTTTTCTTTGGTAGTGTTTCTTACATCCTTTTTTTTGGTTTCCAATGGTACTACGTTGATGCAGCCAAGCCCCACCGTTCACTGGGCAAAGTTCGACGAAGAAGAGGGGGGGGGGGAGGCGGGTGGAGAGGGTCGTGTAGATCACATTTGAAGGTGGTACAAGCGTACCTGGTAGATTGGGCACTGCAATCCTGAAAAATTCCAACGCCTTCCGATTCGGCATTGGACGAGCAAATTTTTTGGAGGGAAGAATGTGGGTTTCTGTATTTGATAAATTTTGGTAATTTCGACAGTTGTGCATCTACCTAAAAATTTAATGGAATATTTCTGGTATATTTCGATTTTCAGGTCTGAAAACATTGATGAATGTATCCTGTTTGATTACTTACTTTCAATTACTAATTGTTTATGCTTAACCCCCTAGGTACTTTGCCAGTTTGGTTAACTCCCCTCCTTACGGAAGAATTATTTTAAAATCAAATACCCATTCGATGAAATTGTACCGTACCATAGCGCGCACGCACTAAGCACTTCCGGGACAGCACTATTTCTCGTCATAATTGGAATTTTGATGGCCGTTTAATGTGCTAATTGTAGTTTCGGGAGTTCCTACGATATGTGTAGTACTGAATTGAAGCAATCCTCCCACTCAGATGTTCTAGCTGACATGAGGATCACAATTATAGCTGAACAAAGGATTCAGTGATGATTTGTTCGTGAGGGATTAAGACGGGGCGCGTCGTGGTCATTATTGGTGACTCTGATTTATGCCGCTCACGTTCTATGAGGCGAAATGAATCCCAGTTTCATCAGTGACACATCGTCTGCGTGGACCTGACGTGGACGTGGGGATTTTCAGCGTTAGTGCCGCTGGTCAGAATGATCGAGTACGCTGCGATCACCGTGCGTAAGCCGTAAGCCGTCCAGCGGACAAGCCGTTTGTCCTGTCGTGGACACGGCCGACGGCAGTGTCAAAGATGGACCACATTTAATCCAGAGCATACGATGTTGTAGTGAAGCAAAAGCACTTTCAGTTCGGTTCGTGGACCTATAGCGGCAACTTCATTGATTTACGCATCAATGGGCCCGAGGGAATGAACATATCGGAACAAGGAATGGACATATCATACTACGTGGAAAACGGCGAATGGAATCTTTTAGGTGCGTTCAAAATGATGAAGGAAGAATTGGTTAAGATATTCACTCCTAGCTGTCAAAAATGACACTCAAATTATTTATGCGCACTAAATACTTCTATTTATGACTTTTGCTCTTCATTTTTCCAATGCAACATCGATGATACGTGAGAGATTTATGAGATCGTTTCGTTGAAATGTTCTTTTTTTACTTTTTATTGCTACCCCCCCCCCCTAAAATTCGAGCTTGTATCGAAAATTGCTAACCGTCTCCAGCAGAAAAGGTACTCTGCAACGTATTGGCCTGACGCCTAGATATAAGCCACAATGGAATCGCACTCAGGAAAAGGAAAGATTTGTAAAATAATTGTGTAGAATTAAAGCATAATGAGAGTAGAAGCGTATTTGCAAATTATAGAAAAGAAATAGAATAAAGTAGGTTGCTAAATATTATAATAATCAGAAGTAGAGATAAGGGGATAGCCAGTCTTAGCGAAACACATTAGGCCGATGTAAGACTTTACGAATCAAGCGATTCACTACTAGCGATTGCCTAGCATCCGCGGTCGCGTTGCGGTACTAGTCAATCGTGCGACTCGTCGGCCGCGACGCGACCGCTGACGCTAGCGAAGCGCTCGCTTCGCAAAGTCTGACATCGGCCTCAGCAGACGCCAGGCGGCAAGAATTGAATGCGAAAAAATTCTACACTTCTATGTACATCTTCTACAAACGTATCGAAGTATTTCACAGCATTTTCTTCATCTGAAAAGTGAACGACCGACGCGTCAGTGCCGGTCAACTTAATGCCCCCAAAATGTGGTATGCATCTGGAGCATCTCGTTAAACAGGCGTTCAAATGTATCGTATTTAGAAGGACAACATATTGTTAAATCGGTGTTTTCGTTTCTGGGTGGGCCCGATGCCTTCTGCGCACACATATGGAAAAAAGTTTTGGTTGCTCTGTGGACATGCAATCTATCATGGTTGAGACACACTGTTACTATCCACCCCAAGTACAGTGTCACCACAACTGTTTGAAGTTTGATTATCGGAACTGGTTTATACTGCTCTCGAGTCAGGCTATGGTATAAGTGGTCACAGCTACAGCTCCTTGTCGCCAATGGTTATGATTGGAAATAGAACGTGAGAGAAACTGTCCTAAGTACCTTTGTACCTCTAAAAGGCGCCAAGAGTTCCTATGATGTTCCAGGACATTGAAGAAGGAGCGAGCCCTGCTACGCCCTTTCAAATCGCTTTAGAGGTCGTCCATAGAAAATAAAAGAACACTTCCTCGAGAAGCGATCAGTCTGATTGTAGGTCTTGAACTTACTACTGTTCCTTTCGTATTCAATCTTGATCAGACTCAACTTCGGGGTCATGACTTGTGGTGGACGTCTAACTCACGTCTGCAAATCTGCGCACGTCCTACTTATTTATTTATTTATTTTATTTATTCATGCGTGCAGTTGACGCGCCTATAAAGAAACAAACAATAGAAAACATTGTGGTTAGTCAATGAGGACGGTAGCCCTATCATCTTCACGAAACTACCTATTCCCTTTCCTGCATTCAAAGAGATAGCAGCACGAGGGAAAATTAGCACTGCTGACCCTCTAGCGAGGAACTAAGGAAGACCTCTCAAACTTGGGTGACTTTGAGTGTAATCCAGGTACCTTACCTGCACCAGTCGGCAATGGTGCCCATAGCACTACTATAGGTGCTATTCTTGAGTTTAAACGTATGTCCTTTCAAAAAACAACAGTCAGGCGGAAGAACCATTATACGAAAGCCAGCTTCAGCAATCCCGATCCCAACGGAGGTGAGCCGAGTATGATTCGGCATAAGTTGGGGTGCTACTGGGCATCCGTATAATTTGCCGCAGTACCTTACTTTACGCCTTTTTTGGTTTACGGTTTCTGTAGTACCAGGTAGATTAGCTCATATTAGTTGGTTACCAATATCGTAGCGTTTTTGGATTTCTCTTTACAACATATTGCTTATAATTTTCTTTGGTACAATAATAACTGTATCCATATACAGTGTCTAGAAGTTGAAAAATCCAAGCGATAGGAATCAGGGTTTACAGTTGGAATTCTTTGACTTTTACAAAAAAAGCTGCCAAAACCTAAGTTTATTAGCTCATAGAGCCTTCTTTCAACCGACTCTACCGTTTTCACTCAGTTTTAACTATATTTACATCTTACGAATTGAGTGAGTACTTCGTAAACCGGCTCGATACCCTTCCTTTTTATCCTCAGACTAACAATTTATTGTGAACTCATAAAAATCGTAAAAAATAAAGAAAACATTTCTGATCTGCTTCATATTCATGTGAACTTCGAACGGTTGCGCCGAATATAAGCGTATCGATTATTATGTATCAACCTATCAGTATTGAGCAGTGGCTGTAAGGTCTGTATCAGTCCCTGTAAGGTCAGTGCCAGACTTTGCGAATCCAGCGTCTCACCAGGAAATCCATGGATTCGCTCCCAGCGATACTAGCGAATCAATGGGCTCACAAAGTCTGAGAACAACCGAACAGGCACTACAAGAGGCATTCTTACCTGCGTTCAAACTGGACACAAGCAGAATCATCAACATTTAGTACGCATCATTATAAAGGGTTCGCAAATCTTTAGTTCGTATCAGGGGTTGGACCAACTAGGACCTCGGTATTGAATTCAGACATTGTTGTCTCGCGAAAAATAGCACTCAGCATCGGCCTGAGCACTCCATTACTTGGGATTCGTCCATACAATTAAGCTACAGCTACAGCTACACACAACATCTAGAAATGTGTCCGTGAAATCCGAATAGCAGCTCGTATTATAGGTGCCAACCTCAAACTATTCTTCTTAGGTTAACTTCACTCTTCCGGTTGCGCTTTATGTGCCTGTGTTCCGAAGTGACTGCTG